ATTAAATACTTTTAAACTATAATACATAATTATCTAACTAACATGACAAAATTGATAATTTGTATAAATTTTGATGATGTCCTTTCATTTTAAATTCATGTATCATGCTAATGTAAAAATATTTTCGGCATTTAGATGATTGCTGTATTATTATACATAAAATTTCTCTCATTAATTAACTTTTATTATTCTTTTTATATAAATAAATATTTAAATCATCACGTGTCATTATTAACGTGCAACGCACGTTCATAGATACTAGTATTATATATTTCATTAAAAGTACGAAGGCCCTTAACGAAATGTCGTTCGTCTTTTTTACCCTTTAAATATGGAGTTTACACTAAACAAAATTGTAATTTAAATATCTTCATAATATTTAGGAATTTGAGATCAACTAAAATTTTGCCTTCTATTAAATCATTCCTTATTTTAACTATGTATGAAGTCATAATATTTAGGAGTCAGGGCCGGCTCTAACTCCATAGGGGTAAGGCAAGTGCCTTAAGCCCCCAATTTGGGGGGGGGGGGCATTGTTTAGGAATAATTTTATAGGTTTTTATTAAAAAATAATAATATATGTATATAATACTTTTATACTTTTTATATAAAAAGAAAGAAAAACTTTAAATATATTAATAAATTAAAACTTAAAATAGTAGAAAATAAGTTGTCACTTTAATTTAATTGGACAACTTTACTTTTTATTCTTCCAAGTAATTGACCATACCCAACCCCAACGTTTCAATTCTTCTCTATACAATCCATATCATTCTTGTTCTTTCTTTTATTAGAGAGACGTCTTCTTCCTTTCTTTGTCTAATATCTTCTTCTTCCTTTCTTTGTCTACTATTCAATATTCATAATATATTATCATTTATTCTTCTTTCTTTGATTCTTTCATTCCTGAAGAGACATATCTTTCTTCTTCTTCTTTCTTTCTTTATGATTTATGTTTATCTTCTTAATTCTTTCTACTAAATTCAGTCAACAACTGGATATTTTGGAATTGAAATCAAGGACTCAAAGTCTTCAAATTTCTTGATTCAGTTAGTTATCGGGTAATATTATTCTAACTTTCTAGTATTATTTTTATTTATTATTTATTATTTTGTTAATTCTAATTTGTACATATTGTTTAATTTTTTTAGAATATAAATATGTCAACAAGAAAATATGCATCTGGTTATTTAAAAATCCAAAAGAAAAGAAAAGCTTGAAAATTTTGATTTTTTATTGGGCATGACTATTTGGTATGATGTATTATTTGCTGTTAATTTAGTTAGCAAAAGTTTACAATCAAAAGATATGCTTATTGATGTTGCCATATATCAACTAAGAGGTCTAATTTCTTTTTTTGAAAAATATAGAGAAGAAGGATTTACAAATGCCATGATTTCAGCTAAGGAAATTGCATTTGAGATGAATATAGAACCTGAATTCATAATAAACGTGTAATACATAGAAAGAAACAGTTTGATGAGAATGTTGATAATGAAATCACAAAGTCTCCTGAAGAATCTTTTAGAGTTGATTACTTCTTATATATAGTAGATCAAGCCATTTTTTCACTTCAAAATAGATTTGAACAGTTTAAAGTATATGAAAGTATCTTTGGTTTCCTATTTAATGGTAAAAAATTGAGATCATTAGATGATGAGAAATTGAAGAAATATTGCCTTAACCTTGAAGGTTCCTTAAAACACAACAATCACTCAGATATTGATGGTTTAGACTTATTTCCCGAATTAAAAGTGTTAAGAGAAATTCTAGAAGTAGAAGATAATACTCTAATCGATATACTCAATCAAATAAAAAGACTTGATTCTTTTCCAAATGCTTATATTGCTTATAGAATAATGTTAACAGTTGCTTCAGCAAAAAGAAGTTTTTCAAAATTAAAATTTATAGAATCTTATCTAAGATCAACAATGTCTCAAGAAAGATTAAATGGCTTGGCTATATTATCAATTGAAAAGGAATTACTAGAAAAAATCGATTATAACAAAATTATTAACAATTTTGCATCTCAAAAAGCTAGAAGAATAGATTTTAAATAAAAATATATAATATAACATTTCTATAAATATTTAGGCCATATATTAAACTTTCGTCTTAGGCCCCATTTACACTTGAGCCGCCCCTGTTAGGAGTTTAAATCAATTAAGACTTTAGGTTACATAAATCTTTTCCTTATTTAAACTATGTAACATAACTACAAATATCTTGCGTGTTAATCAATTTTATTCGAACTAATTATATTTTATTGGACATGTCAGAAGTAAAATAGGTGATAGGAAAGAATAGACGTGGTAAAGACTCAAGCGTCTATCATTACTTTTAGACTTTTAGGAACGAACCTTCAAAAAATAAAACGATTTTTAAATGAGATTGCTTAAAAGCTAAAGTAACACATTCTTTAGTTACTAACTGCAAAAGACTCATGTTAGTTTATTCAAAGTTTAAACTTTAAAGTATCAGTTACAACTACAGTTTGTTTTATATGCATGAAGCCAAGCTCGAATTGTTGATTGATTCTTTTTCCTTTATATTTTATATCAAATAAATTATAATTTAATTATTTTTAATATTTAATGTTTTATAGTTAACTAAAATAATATTAATTATTACATTTTTTCTTATTTGAATTATACGTAGAACTCCTAATATTATTAGGATTGAAAAATCAATAAAACTATTACATTATATAAATCCTTTTCTTATTGAACTATACATAGCAAAATTATAATACGTGTTTTTTTCCTATGATTTGCTGCCTTGAATGTATTCTCACATGGTATGTATCTCCAACGACTTGACAAAATAAAAGAGTTTTTCTTTGTACATTATTAGCTGACTTTGTTTTTATTAATTTAAATTGAGTTTTATAAAATTTTAATTTATTATTTATTTATCTATCAATAAGTTCTCTCTTTCATAAATGCAGAAGGAATGAAATTTAATTTGATAATGTTTGTTTGTTTCTTACTGATTCTTATTTTATGTACTCTATAGTTAAAAAGATGACGGATTTGATACTAAGTCTTTTCAATTACTTCTTTTAAATACTTTTAGAATCTATCATTTTATTTCCAAATTTAAAATGAGAATTAAATAATTTGACTTCATATTAAGAAGTTGAATGAAATAGGAGAGATAGTATTTTTACTTTGATTTATTTAATCAATGTAAATTTTGTAGTAACTTGTTCTATAATACTGACTCATATTAGTAATTTTTAGATAACATATTCATCATTTTCATGAGTTTATACTTTTTAATTTTATTTTATATTTTAAATACATTATTTAAATAATTTATTTAATTTTTAAAATTTATCTTTATTATTATAGATCCACGCGCAATGCGCATACCCTAAAGCTAGTAAAATAAAATAGGGGAAAGGGTCAAATTTGATTTAACTTTGCCTTCTGTTATATTTTGTGTCTAATTTTACCATCGACATTAAGGGAGTCTTGTTCTTTTTCTAAAAAAAGAATGAAAAAACTACAAGAAAAACATATTGGATGCTTTTCCTACTTATTTAAGCCCATATATTTTTTTAACCCGAAATAGCCCATATTTTTGTTAAAATAGCACGGTCTAGCCAGTTTTCGGACTGGTCATTCAAAAATAGTCAGCGCTTGCCAAGTTATTGAAAAATAGCCATTATTTTGCTGCAACAGAGACCGGTCCAGCATAATATACTGGAGTTCGGTGCACCTGTGTATAAACTTCCAGCATATTATGTTGGACCAGTATACTTTGCTAGCTCCAGTATAATATACTGGAGACTGGAGCACTGGTGCTCCAAACTCCAGTATTTATGTTGGACCGGTATATTATGCTGGAGTATTTTTCTGGATTTTGAACAGTGTTTTCGTTCAGATTTATCTTTACATGAAAAGTGGCTAAATTTCGATTACTTTTAGAACTGTGGCTATTTTTGAATGACCATTTGTAAATCTGGCTATTTTTAAATTTCTCCCCATATTTTTGGCTTTTTTACCATAACCCGAAATAGCCCATATTTTTGGCTTTTTGACCAAAATCATCCTTAAAGTTTTATCACAACTTTCACTGCATCCTTATAATATCTTACTTAACAAGAAGCATCAAGTTTCTTAAATTTAACCAAAAACATCCTTCTGTTAAAATTTCCATCCACTTCTAACAGAACAGTTGTTTCTCAGGTGACTTTGTTTACTTTTTTTCTCTTCCAAAAGAGTTCAATTCAAGGGCCAAAAGTCTTCCACTGCTGCGAGCTCCTTTATTCTTCTAAAGAATGTTTATCTATTTCCGTCGTTTTTTCGCTCATACTCAGCGAAATTCAATTTTAAGTTCTTCTTTCTCTAATGTATTTGTTCTATTTCTTCCTTCCTCATCAGATTTCCATCACTAATAAGTCAATACTTCTAATTGCTTTTTCTACAATTTTGGGAATTTGAATCTTAGAATTGATTTCAATGCCTTTTTTTTTTTTTTTTGAATTGGGGTGTCATATGATGCATTTGTTCCCCTACTTAAAGAATGATTTAAGTACCTCTTTGTACATCTCTATAATTTTAATGTGAAAAGCAACATGGTCTATGCCTTTCCTGAACTCTGCGACTTAAATCCCATGAGTTTTAGGTAAAAATTCAGTTTTTGCTTTTCTCTTCTATTTTTCTTCGGGGGTTAACTTTTTTCTTATACTTTTCTTCGTGTTATTTGATTATTTTGGACAGACATTGTGTCACGGGGTGAGCTATAAACAAGCTCAGTCTTGAAGAACCAGAATAGGGAAGGAGAAGAATAGGGAAGGAGAGGGAAAGAAGAAGAAGGTAGAGAAAAATTGGCTAATATTTTTTATATCTGTAAAATGGGTACATATGCAAGCTAAATAGGAATCCAGCATTGAATTCTAATCTAACAGCCTATTACATTAGTGACTACCATGTGTCCTTACTAAAAAGAATTTAATGAAACTTAATTGTAAAAATAAGAAAATAAAGATAAGGACTAAACTGAACATAGTAAGTCTTATGGACCTCTACTACTAAGGCCTCATTAATTTATTTTTTAAAGATTAAGACATTTGAATCTGAATATCAAAATTTGAATTAAGATTAAGACATCTGAATCTGAATACACATCTAAATATTACGATGTGTATTAAGATCTGAATACTAAATGATTAAGACTGTTTTATTTTTAACATATGAATATATAAAGTTTATCTTTATTTGAAAATTAATAAACACAAAATTCAAATGAAATACTTTTTAATCTAATATTCAATCAATAAAATATATAGATTTTTAAAAATATGATAGCTACTGGTAGTGATGGCTAACGGTAGTGCTTGTGAATACCGACTATAGGCGGTTGTTAGTGGTAGTTTTGGTTGATGATGGCGGTTCAGGGTAGTAACTAGTGGTAATTGTTAGTGGTGGCGATTATGATTGATGATGATGGTGGTTCAGAGTAGTAGCTAGTGGTGATTGATAGTGGTGAAAATTATGATTTGGGATGGTATTGATGTGTGATGATAGTTAATAATGGCGGGTAGTGGTGGTGGTTGTGATTGAGGAAGGTGGCGGTGGGTGATGATAAATTATAATGATGGGCATTGCCGGCTATGGTTGCTGATAGTGATGGGGTGGTTAGTTGAAGTGGATGAGTGTTGGTTGTGGTTGGGAATGATGGTGGTGGGAATGGTAGAGATGATGAGCGGTGGTATTCGATAATGGTGGCAGCTATAATTGATGATGGTGGTGGTAGGTGGCATGGTGGTAGTTGATAATGGTAGGCGGTGACGACATTTAATTATGAATATGAATAATAACATTTTAATGAAATTAAGTCTCTGTTATAAACAATTTCTCCAATTTGTCCTCTTCTGTTGTAACTAGTTTAGGATCTTCTTGATGACTCAGCAGAGCAACCCAAGTGTCACCTCTGAAAAATGATATACTGGGGTCTAATGTGCAACAACACAGGGGCAACTAAGTCTAACCAATTCATATCCAAATCTAGGTCACATCCTCCTACTTGTAGCAGCCTTACATCAAAACAGAAGGGTTCCTCTTGCATCTTCCAACAAAAATTAGGACAGATGGCCCTACTGTACATATATTCTCCATTAGCTACCTTCTCTTTCATTGGAGCATAGCTAGGTAGTGCTTCTAATTTAAGGACCTGGACTATTTGTGAATTTACAAAACTGTGAGTAGAGCCACAATCAATCAAAATTGTGATAGGCAATTTCTTGGCATACCCCTGAATCTTTATGATTTTAGAGGAAGAACTTGTCACTCCCATAGCAACACATAATGATATCTCACCCTGCTCCTCTTCAAAAATCTCCTCTGTTTCCACCTCATATTTAATTCCACTACTTTCCCCTTCTTCCTGAATAACTTGCACTTTCCCCTCTAGTTCTTCCCATTTCCAAGCAATAACATTCAATGTTTTAGGTTTATACTGGTGGCCAGGATGGTATTTCTCCAGACATCTATAACAAAGGACTTTGTCTCTTGCTACATCAAAAAGTTGGTTTGGTTTGAAGGAAACTCTAGGTTTGGAAACCAAGGCTCTGTTGTTTGGGTTCTGGGAATTGGTTTCTTGATAAGGTATAATAGCTCTAGAAGTAGGTTGGGGATTGTTTGGGATATAGGTCATTCTGGGATTGGTGGATCTAAGGAGGTCTTTAAAAGAGGCTTCATAGGACTTAGCTAAGTCAAATGCATCCATAAGGCATATTGGATTTGCTAGTCCTACTAGGGATTTTAATTTGTGTTTAAGGCCACTGATATAGCTGAAAATAAAATGAATATTATTCAATAAAGGATTTACCAACAACATGTATGATTTCAGCTCCTCGAACTTCTTCTGATAGCTTTCCTCATTACCTGTATGTTTAAGATTGTTAAATTCGTCCACAATATCAATGGGTTTCACACTCCCAAACCTCCTACAAACGTCTGCAGAAAACAAGAGCTAGTTAGTCCCCTTCTTCTTCAGAATATGGCTATCAAACCATATACCTGCCTTGTCTTTCACATGTACACCCACATAACTCATTTTAGTTTTTTTAGGGATTTGATAAATTTCAGAAAATTGCTCACATTTATGAATTCATCCCTTGGGGTTAACACCATTGAACTCAGGAAAGTTTATCTTGGATTTAAAGGGTAGTGACTGAAGGTTTGTCTTTTTTACGACCGGTACAATATTTGGTAAGGGGAGTAAAGGAAGGTTAGTTGTAGGTACAATTATAGTTGTCAATGGAATAGTGTTTATAATGGGGGTTGGAATTGAAAATGATAATGATGTGAAAATGGTAGTAGGTGTTTGAGTTGGTCCTTAATGGAGGAAAAGTGAAACCCTTGCCTACATGATAACTAGTTGGAGTTGAAATTGGGGTTACTTGAGCCTGAGTATTCAAAGTTTTCCTAGATTCTCGCACAATCAGTGGTCCTTGAGCTGAAGACGTCATTGATCTTGGAGAGGCAACATTTTCTGCTCTCTTCAAGGCATCGAGTTGAGAAATAATTAGTTCTAGCCTTCGGTTCGTCTCCTGTATTTCCCTTAGCTGAGAGGAAAACTGATTTTGACTGGACTTCAGTGATTCAAAATGAATGGCACTCTCCGTAGCCATGGATTCTAGCTGGGTTTCGAGTTTTTTCATGCCTTCTTCAAGGCCCTTGAATTTTTTAGCATCAACCATTGTTATCCGCAAGAATTGAATGGATCTGATACTAATGTCACGAGCTGAGCTATAAACAAGCTCATTTATGAAGAACCAGAATAGGGAAGGAGAGGGAAAGAAGAAGAAGAAGATAGAGAGAAATTGGATAATATTTCTGATATCTGTAAAATGCGTACATATGCTAGCTAAATAGGAATCCAACATTGGATTCAATTGTACAATCCATTACACCATTGACTACCACGTATCCCTACTAGAAGGAATTTAATGGGACTTAATTGTAAAAGTAAGAAAATAGAGATAAGGACTAAATTGAACATAGTTAGACTTATGGACCTCTACTACCAAGCTTAATTCATGGCAGATTGTTTCATATGATTTCCAAGATATAGGACATAGGTAATAGTACCATTTCGGTGTTTCCACTGAAAGGGAAAAGCTTCACGCAAGAATAAATAGTACAACCATTACAAACCCTTTTCTTAAGCTTCCCAAAAAAGTTTAATACGTCTATGTTCTTCAAAGTAGGAGAGAATATTGTGCGAGAAAAGGGGGAAAAAAGATGGGGTCACGTGAGAAACAAAGGTTCTGTTAGAAGTGGATGGTAATTTTAACTTTGAGAAAATTAAAAGGATGTTTCTTGTTAAGTGTGATATTATAAGGATATAGCGAAAGTTGTGGTGAAACTATAAGGATGATTTTGGTCAAAAGCTCCATATTGTGCAAAAAGTATATATACTATTATTTAAAAATCATTCATTAAACCAACTCATATGACTAGACCTAATTCTCTATTTTCATCTGCTTCTCTCTCCCGCTCTCTAATGCCTCACTCCCCTTATCTAACACAGACCAGAAAATTCATCAACTCAAAAATAATGAATTCAAGAACATAAAAATTTGAAAACCTTCATATTGCAAGGACCTAAAAACATTCCTTCTTTCTCCCTTCTTTTGTTCTTCTTCTTTGTTTTCTCTCTTATTTAGTTTTTGTTTCAATGGCGAAAAAGATTCAGATTTGAGAAAACGAAAAGAAATCCTATGTGGATGAACCTACACATCTATAATGATGAAGATCTATATGGTCGAATTTATAAATCTATAGATCTATGTTCGCTCTGAAGCAAATTAATTACCACTAGATTGCTTCGAAGCTCGAATGGAAGAAGCCACACACTTTTTTTCTCTGTGTTGCTCATAGCGGACCTTTCTGAAAATTTCTTTCTTTTTTTGATCTTCTGTTTCTTTTCCCTTAGTTGTTGTGCATATGGTGATTTTGGTATTGAAATGGATGTGTAATTGTGAATGACTGAGATTTCTAGTGTAGATATGTATAATAGGAGTTCACATATGGTTATATAATGTATATTTTTTTTAAACGGTGTATAATATTGTATAATTATGTATATGCCAATGTATAATATATACATTAAGATACAGTGTATGAAGTTGTAACACAATTATTTCTTTTTGTAGTTTCTCTTTGTTCTTTATTTTGGATGTTGAGGTCTAACTCTATGGTTTTAATTTGTGATATTTGCTTTTTTCTTTTTCTATTTTTTCACTGTTAATGATTTTTGAAGGGAGGAAGTAGGTGTACATAATATGTATATGCATATGTATATTCATGCATATCTTTATATATATTGATAGTAATACAACATTATTCATGAATATGCATAATTATACACAGTTAGAAAATATTCATAATGGTTTTTTTTTGGTGCTATTTTTCCTTCTGATAACGTATATTCACTGAATAAAATTGTTACATATATAATATTGTATAATTAATTTATACATATATTTATATCAACCAAAACTTTTATTTTTCCTTTAACATTCCGAATATAATTATATTGTAAAAAGATTTGATGCTTCCTCATATCTTGTTCGATAAGGACTTGTTAAGTAAAAGTTCATAATAAATATGCTATATGTTATCATCTTTATTTTATAAGAAAAATAGGAAAAGAAAAAGAAAATGAAACAAAAAAGACAATATGATTTAGGAATGAAAAAACACGAAAAAATAAAATAAAATAAGGAAAATTTTAAAATAAGTGGAATGAATATGGGTGAACGGCGGACAAAATTTTATTGGATGGAGATGTATGAAATTTATAGATTTGTTGAAAAAAGCATAACGATATTTATCTTGGCTATATTTTGTTAGGTTACATGATTGCAATCTTTTTATTGGCTATTCAGTTAAAATGTAGTGAGTTAATTTGTATT